TAGACATATATTTGATATTTAACACTGTGTAAATTTAAGGTGTACTACCTGTTAATTTGATGTGTGTATATATTGTAATGTGATTGCCATTGTAAGGATAATTAGCACCTCTACCATGTTACATAATTATCCTTTCCTTTAAGTAGTTGGGATAATTAGGTTCTAGTTTATCAAGTTTGATGATTATAATACAATACTCTTGTCTAAGTTTATTGTGCTCTGTGTCATATCTCTAAGGCTTATTTATTACTTGTTCTAAATTTGAACCCTTAAAAACATCTGTCCTGTTTTCCCACCTGCCATACCCTGCTAACTCCCATTTGATTCTCTATTTTTAAGAGTTTGGCTTTTAAAATCCACAAATATGTGATATTATGTCTTTCTCTCCAGGACCTGTCATTCATCTTTCCTCCATCGTTTAGTCAAGAGAGCAGATGTGAGGATTCAAGCAGGAAAACTCCTATTGAGCTATATCAACCAGTGTTCATATTGATGGTCACAAGCCAGAGAGAGAGGGAAAAAACAACAACACAAAAACACTGAGAGAATCTTCTTCTCTTGGTCAAATAATATAGTGTTTATTATATACATATTTCTCTTAAATATTTGTTACATCCTAAAAAAAAAAGAGTTGGATAACCTCAACTATCTGGATATAAGTAGAACTTATTTTTTTCTATTTATTTGACCTTTATTCATGCAAATTTAACATCTAAATAAATACAGGGAAATGTTACAGATTATCTGATTCCCTGCTCCTTTCTCCAGTATTTCAGGGGCATGCACCTAAAGCTTTCTTCTTGCTTTGCTTCAGATTCTGTTTCTGTGTCAACAGAGTCACCAACTGAGATGCTACAAGGGTCAGACAAGTACTGCAACCATAAGGAGACTGGCATAAAAGAGCTGAACTATCACAGAGATCCCCACCCATCACCAAGACCAGTCAGCAGAGGCAGCCAGGGTTAAGCACCATCACCACCAGTAGACTCTCTACAAGTTGGAATCCAGCCTTTATTTGAGCTTTTCTAGTTCAGCTCATTTGTCTTGTAATGAAGATAGAGACAAATCATCTTACAAAGCCAATTTGCTAGGATGCAGCTAGTATTTCCTACTTGAAAGACCTTGAATGCATTTCTAAATCTGTCTGATCCTGCATTTTTCAGCTTTTCAGGGAGATTAACTTTTCTCTTTTCTGAAATCAGGCTAATAGCATGGACCTAAAACAATGGATAGTATCTATGGTAGCTCCTGCTTCACCACTTTTATGTATAAAGGGGGATAAAAGGAATTAAACACCCAAAAATACTTTTAGAGTGTGGGTGGTTGGATTTTGTGTTTGGGTGGTTGGATTTGTGATTGTTTCTTTCCACTTTTGTTAATGGGCATTATACACATGTGTGCATGGACACACATACACACACACACACACACACACACACACACACACACGGTAAGCATGACATTTAATTAATTACTCTAAAACTGTCAATAATCCCAATTGCTGCCTTAGTATAAAGTGAATAGAATAGAATGAGATTTCAAGTTCTTCTCTAATTTGGGCTTAAAAAATTTATTAAGCCCAAAGTGTCAATCTATGGACAAGTCTGAATTGGCTTCTATCCCTCAAAGACAAGGCTGCTCCCATGAAGTCCTATGTTCTCTGCACCTCTGCAATGTTTTTCTTTCTTCCTCATTTGATCTTCAAAATTTAGCATATACTTCCCTCTCCAGCATGATTACCTTGTTGTATGTGATAGATACAATTGGTCATATTACTTCCACCAGAGTCTATATTTCCTAATTGAGCTGATTCCCATGCACACACACAAACTTATACAATGTCTATTCCAGTTGCATCCACCAAACAATTGATGAATAAATAGAATAGGAAATAAATGAAGTGAAATAAGATTGTGAAATTTAGTTTGATCATTTTTTCTTAATAAAATAATCTAGGACTCATTATCATTTTCCCTAAAATTTAAAAAACAACAACAAAAAACAAAAACAAAAAAGAGAGAGAGAGCCAATATAAACATTTTTTTAATACATTAATTTACATTTTTGGCATTAATTATATTCTCATATAATCTTGACATATTTTGCTCAAGTACTCAAAGTTGACCTAGTTTTATACATTACATTCCAGAGCAGCACTACCATTATACATTCCCAACAGCAATGTATGACTGATCCAGTTTCCCTGAATACTGACCATCATTTGGTATAATCATTTTTATTTCATTTTAGCCATTCTGATATAAGAGTAGTGGCAACCCTTCTTGTTTTAATTTGCATTTATTTAATGGCTAATAATGTTAACTGCATTTTTATGTTCTTATTTATCATTTGTATGTCCTCTTCAAAGAAATGTCTCATGTTGCTTGCCCATTTTCTATTTTATAGAATAAAGAGGTAATATGCAAATTAACCATCATTCCAACACACAAGATGGCTGCCCCATGTGGTCAAATATGGCTGCTTCCATGTAAACACAAGATGACCATCACAAGATGGCCAACAGGGGAGGGTAGTTGTAGGCAATCAGGCCACAGCAGAGGGCAGTTTGGGGGCAACCAGGCCTGCAGGGGAGGGCAGTTAGGAGTGACCAGGCCAGCAAGGGAGGACAGTAAGGGGTGACCAGGTGGGCACGGGAGGGCAGTTGGAAAGGACCAACACACAAGATGGCTGCCTCCATGTGGTCAAAGATGGCCACCATAATATGGCCAGCAGGGGAGGGCAGTTGGGGCAATCAGACCATCAGGAGAGGGCAGTTGGGAGGGACCAGGCCTGCAAGGGAGAGCAGTTAGGGACAAGGCCTTCAGAGGAAGGCATTTAGGGGTGATCAGGCTAAAAGGGGAGTGCAGTTAGAGGTAGCCAAGCCAGCAGGTGAGGGCAGTTAGAAGCAATAAGATTGCAGGGGAGAGCAGGTAGGGGCAACCAGGCTGGCAAGTGAGGGCAGTTAGAGGCATTCAGGCCAGCAGGGAAGCAGTTAGGGCCTCCATATATATTAGAGGTCTGGTGCATAAAATTTGTGCACTGTGTGTGTGTGTGTGTGTGTGTGTGTGTGTGTGTGTGTCCCACAATCCAACCTGCACCATCTCTAATCTGGGACATCCCTCTCACAATCCAGGACTGCTGGCTCCCAACCGCTCTCCTACTTGGTGTCTAATTGCCCCTAACTGCTTCTGCCTGGCAGCCTGATCATTCCCTAACCACTCCCCTGCCAGCATTTATCAGAAATCAGTTAAGCCTATTTGTATGGACTATTTCTGGGTTCATTATTCCATTTTATTGATTTATTAGAGGCCCAATGCCTGAAATTTGTGCATGGGAGGGGATGTCTCTTACCCCGGCCTACAGCCCAGGGATCGGGCCTAAACTGGCAGTTGGACATCCCTTTTGCAATCCAGGACTACTGGTTCCCAAATGCTCACCTGCCTGCCTAATTGCTCCTAATCCCTCTGCCTGCCTGCCTGATGTCCTCAACTGCTCCCCTTGCCAGCCTGGTTGCTCCTAATTGCCCTCTCCTGCTGGCCTGATCCCCCTAACTGCTCTCTCCTGCCAGCCTGTTTGTCCCTAACTGCTCTCCCCTTTTGGCCTGGTTGCCCTTAACTGCCCTCCCCTGCCAGCCTGATCCCCCAACTGCTCTCTCTTGCCAGCCTGTTTGTCTCTAACTGCTCTCCCCTGCCAGCCTGAATCCCCTAACTGCCTCTGTATCAGCCCTGTCACCATGGATTTATCCAGAAGGATGACCTGAAAGATATCTGGAAGATAACCTGTCTAGTTACCATTTTATTAGTATAGTGTCAATTCCTCTGCCAATTCTACTTAACCTTAAGTTCTATAGCTTCTGAGACCTGAATAAAAAACACACATAAACACTTTATTATCAGTTTAATATAACACTTATTTTCAGTTAAAATTGTTTAAAATAATATTTTTTTAAGTTTGGGGTATTGTATAGTTTTATTTACAAAAATCAAGTATTTTTTCTACTGTTACACCTGATTTTCAAAAATACAACTAAATAGAGATAACAAAAGCAAAATTGGAGGTAAAAAGGCCAGGATGCATTATAGAAAAAAAAATTTCTTTGATTGCAATCTCCTTTACTCTTTTTTTCAGTGTAAATTGCTTATTTTAAATAAAAACATAAACTCATTAACCATACAGTACATGCCTAATTCAAACAACTAAAACCATCGAACAGAAGGTCCTCTGAACTGTGACATTTTATGTGCTAAAAAGCTTTCAATGCATTATATGAGGCTTTCTGCCTTAAGTCTATAAATTTTTATTGTCTGTCCTAAAGCACATAAAACTTTCTTGAATGATTTCCAGTCATTTATTTTCCACAGAATCTAATCTGCTGAACTGGCTTTTCGACATTTACTTTGCTTTTTAACAGTGAGAATTACATCGTAAGTACTAAATACTCAACCATAGTACTGCTCTAATTGTGCTGTGGAGCTGACATTAAATCATAAAACCCCAATTGCACTTAGAATATTTTATTTCTTCAGAATTAATTTCTTGGCTTGCACCACTTTCAGAACTTTCTACAACCATAAGGTTTTTGCTTAAATACCACCAAAGAACACGTTCACCGTAACTTAAATAAATGTTCTCACCAGTCCCTTCCCACCATCCACACTGCCATCCAGGGCACAGCCATTAAGATAATTCCCTAGTTTATACACACATGAAACACTCAAGTATAGAGTACAGCCATCCTGAAAAGGTAAAAATCTCCCATTTGTCAGATCACCTAACCTGAAACACTCCCCTCTGAAAGAGATAGACTTGGAGGACCACTGCACCAGGTACTTGCTAGGACATTGACTAAGAGCTTCTTTTGTGCAATATTGATCATCAGTGACCCCTGCAGCTATAGAAAAGCGAAGATTTCTCTAAATGAGTAGATAACTCAGGAAAACTATAAATGCCACCTAAATGCATTGCAAGAAAAAGTACAACAAAGGAGATCACGTCTTTACCTGTTTGACATCATATGCCAGAAGAACATATTTCAAATCTGGTGAAACAGAATGTCTTGATGCTTTGAAGGTTCCCTATAAACAAAACAAAACAATTACCTATATACATAAAAGCCTAACCAACCGAATAACCAAATGACCAGTTGCAACACACAATCTGACCCCTGAAGGTCAGTGCACTTCCACAGACAATCTCTTACAGCCAGCCAACTCCCCATGGTCCCTGCCTCAGGCTGGCAGGCTCCCCCAACCTGCCCCGAAGTAGGGGACTGAGTGGCCAACCTGCCGCAGTCCCTCCCCTTGGCCAGCCAACTTCCCATGGTCTTTTCCTGCAGGCCCCCTGATAAGCTCTGAGGGGGGAGGGGGCTGCCAGCCAAATCCTCCAGACCTTCCACCCGGCTGGCCAGTAGACCCAACCTGTGCACAAATTTGTGCACCAGGCCTTTAGTCTTTAATAACAGGTTAGCATGCATTTAGATATACACATATTAAAAAAAAAAACAAAAAAAAACCCATTTCTGGTAAACCTATAAAACTGTTAAATAGGCATTCTAATTCCTGAAGTAGACATGCACATGCATATATGTATGTATAATTATTCAGAAGAATACAAATACTTAGAGAGGCTATAGTAAACATTTCATTGATAAAATAATTGCTACCATATTTTTTTCTACATGTTATCACTATAAAACTATATTTTTATTATAAGAAATAAAAGCAAAAACTCAATGAAATTCCTAAGTAAGCAAAATTCTTTTATATTTGCACATTCATCAAAATGAAAAGAAATAGTTACATTATGTGGTATCATGATTTTTGGACTATACTTTTCTTACATGTTGTATATTTATATTGAAAGAAGATACATATTAAAGACAGAATCTCTTTAAAGTAAACTTCTAGAGTGAAACAGATTAAAACACAAAAATACATTATATATATATATATATATATATATATATATATATATCTGCATGGAAAATGACCCAGTACTTCATTGATTTTTGAGCCTATAATTTTATCTTTGAATACACTTGATGTCAGAAAAAAGTTGAAAATAAAATGAAGGCAAAATACATTGAAAATGGAGAAATAATTTTATTTTAAGTAGAGATTGTATTTAACTTCCTATCAAAAGAGAAGGCAAGCAGCCCTGGCTGGCATTGCTCAGAAGTTAGTGTCAGCCTATGTGCCAAAGGGTCATGGGATCAATTCCCGGTCAAGGGCACCATAATCGCCAAACCCTCTTGGGGCACATGCAGAAGGCAAAGCAACCAATCGATTGTCTCTCTCAACTCTCTCTCTCTCTCTCTCTCTCTCTCTCTCTCTCTCTCTCTCTCTCTCTCTCTCTCTCTCTCTCTCCTCCTTCTCCTCCTCCTCCTTTTCCTTTTTCTTCTTCTCCTCTTTTCTCTCCCTTCACTCCTTCTACTCTCTCTAATAAATCAATTGGAAAAATATTCTCAGGTAAGGAATAAAAAAAATAATAATTAAAGAGAAAGAAGCAAATTGAGTTGATGCATCAAAAATCTACAAAATATGAAGAATATAAAATGAATATGAATTTTAGGCAACCCATTTTGAATACAGATATACATCTTAATAATTTTGTACACTTTATATCAAGGCACTTTTCACAAGACTGTGCTCCATGATAAACAGAAAAGGGTGAAGTCAAGATTTTCTCATTTAGAAATCCCCAAAACACAATGAACAAGGTAAGAAACTGACTAATGAGTATTTGGGAAAGTTTGCATACAGTAATAAAAATATATATTTGGCTTTTTATTTCAGGTTCTGGGTACAGAGTTCCTAAAGTCTTTGGAATTTCCTGAGCAATAGGAGTGTCTTTTGTTAATAACTAATCCCAGGTTTATGCTGAAACATAAACTAATTTTAGGTTCTGCTGCTAGATGAGTAGCTAGAGGTATCTGGTGGGCAGCCACCACGGGATACAAACTCCTCGTTAGAAAATTAGAATGTTTAGTTTGGAGGTCAGGGTGAGTGGAAGGTCAGGAGATGTACAGTCACTTGGCCAATGATTTAATCAGGCATGCCTAGGTAATGAGACCTGAATAAAAACTCTGATGGATAAGATTTAAAGAGGCTACCTTGTTACTAAACATAGCAATGGATTAGGGGCATGGCACACCCAGCTCCACAGAGACAGACAGAAATTTGGGCCTTCCGAATCCACCCTATTTCCCTCTTCATCTAGCTCATCATTTGTAACACAGTGATCATAAGTACAACTGAACTTTGAACAGCAATAGTTTGAACTATGCCAGTATACTAGTAGTTGTATGCAGATCCCTCTCCCTCCCCCCAGTAAATATAGTTCACCCTTTACACCCCTGGGTTTAACATCTGCAGATCTAACCAATCAGGATGGAAAACAGTATTTTTGCAATCAAAACTGTAATTTCTGACCTGCGGATTCCTGGGGATCAAAATAACTGTTTTCTATCCCCACTTGGTTGAATGCACTAATGTGAAGGACCTACTATAGAGTCAAAAGTTATACAAGAAGGTTCCACTGAGTCGGGGTTGGCATCCCTAACCACCCATTGTTCAAAGATCAACTACATACAACTTTTGGTGAGGTCGTCTAGAGAATTATCAAATGTGAAGGGGGAACAGATGAATTTGTGTCTGGGTTCAGCAGAAAGGCTGGGAACTGGAGACCTGAAGTTGTTACCTGAAGTGGGGGCAGTCAGAAGCCCTGACTCTGTGTGATCGCTACTGAGTCTAGGTAATTAGTATCAGAATGGAATGGAATTGTAGGTCAACCAGGTGGGGACAGAGCATTGTGGTTGAAATAACACAGTTTAATCTCTGAGCCAGGTTAACAAGAGAGTAGAGTGGTCTGGGAGAAAAATAATATTATATGGCAATGCTAACATTTCAAGTTTTGTATATATACAGGGTGAGGCAAAAATAGGTTTATATTCTTGTATTATCTTTATTATTATATTATTTTCCACATGAACAACTTTAAACATATATTTGTCCTTCCATGTGCATACACCTTGTACAGTCCATGTATGAGAAGATATTTAGAAGGCCAGAATAGTCATATAATAATTCAGTTTTTTCTCAAAAAAAAGCACAAAAAAACACAAACATTTCAAGAGCAATGACAATAACAAAAGCAACAATGGAGCTATGGGGTCTATCATCTATTATAGGCTATCAATTGCTTAGATTTTTGCAGTTTTCAATAATCCTCAATCCTCCTCATGACAACACCATGTGGTAGGTTTCACCATTCTTAGAGTTTCACTAACTTATTTTTGAAAACTGATTTTTAGAGAGAGAGAAAGAGGGTAGAGAAAGAGAGAGAGAAGCACTGATTTGTTTTTCCACTTATTTATGCATTCACTGGCCGATTCCTATAGGTGCCCTGACTGGATTCCTATAGGTGCCATAACTAGGGATGGAACCCACCACCTTGACAAATTGGGATGCTCTAACTAAGCTACTTGACCAGGACCTCTCTCATTAACTTGCTGTACATTGAAACTTAGTAGACATTAGTCTGTGGGGAATATAGGGTGACATTGAAAACTCAAGGTCATCTCACTCAACATTATTATATCAGGAGGTGAATTGTTACACAGTAAGGGTAGTCTAATTGTTATTTAGAAATTGTTATTTAAAAGCCCTGGCTGGTATGTCTTTGTTGATTGAAGTATCATTCTGTATAAAGAAAGGTCACAGGTTCAATTCCAGGTTAGGGCACATCCCCAGGTTATGGTTCAATCCCTGGACCCAATGGTGATGTGTGGGGAGACAAATCAATATCTCTCTCTTCCCTCTTTAAAAATCAATGAATGTGTCTGTGAGTGAGAATTACAAACAAACAAATAAGTAAATACATGGAGTTAAGAGGGCAATGCCATCATCTGTACTATGGAGATTAGAAAACACTAACGCCACAGTTAAACTTGTCTGAAGTTCACAAAGGAACACACTCACAAAATTACACAGGAGTATTTCCTTTCATTAATCCTGTACTATCTCACCAGCAGGAGTATCTCTCTCCTCCCTCCAAAGAACTTCCCTGTCTGAAGTCTGAATTATTTCAAAAGAAGCACTCCTCCCTAGTCCCCACCAACTCCCCTGTGATGTTCCTCACACTACCAAACTTCACACATTCACAGTGCTTCTGTGCCTCCAGGGACAACACTTTAGTATCTTTTATATATCTCACAATTATCTAGTCTGGCACTTTATTAATTATCACTCTCCTGCCTCCAGCTCATGTAGGGCTCATGTACTGGGAAACTTTCCAAATATCTTTCCAGGGGCCAAGCTGCTGAACCATCTCTGAATTTAGAGAGTGGTACCCAGGTCACTGGTACTGAAAAAAGAATTGCTGATGATAACGCGTATAAGAAACACATCCTTGCAGCTTAGTCAAGGAACATTGAAGTTCTCAGGCAAATCCCTCCTAGCGTAAGTCATTAATGTTATCTGCTGCGGCTGGGAAATTAATTCCTCCTAGCAGCCACAGGAGACCTCGGGGTCTACACTGACCCAAATTGTAGACATTAATATAGTTTGGTTGAGTGTCAATTTTATATGGCTTCCAATTAGGGTTTCAGTAAAATTAATTGTTGCCAATAATGCTGTTATCTGACCTACATATTTAATCACTTCATCGCTATTGAAGAAATGAATGCAAAAATATTATCCACATATCATTTTTAGCAATACTTAGCAATGATACCCACCAGTGTATTTTTTGACACTGAAAGTGGTACAAAGGACATTAAAATGCATGAAATCGGCCATCTAAGAATGTTCAATTAAAGTCAAGCAAGGTGACAATAAACAGAAAATTAAACACGCAGGTGGTTAACTAAACCAATTAAACAAGGAAGACAAGACATTTGATCAAGTTGAGAAGCAAATGCATGCTTTCAAGAAGCTTAGGGAGATTTTGTAATACCTCTTTTGCACATATCATTTTATTCTGGCAAAACTCATTTATTGAACATTCACAATATGACAAGCCTCATTGTAGGCACTGAACGTGTTACAAAGTTGCAAAGTTGAGAACCAAACTCTAC